TTGACAGTGACTAAGGAGTTAGAGTCTCTATGTCTTTCCCAGCCTCTGGAGCAAGGATGAAACTAATTATTAATTCATGGTTTAAAAAACTAAAATTCTTTCGGGCCAACAATAATTAATAGAAGAGGATTTTACATCTATATTTTAACTTAACCAATAATAATTGGTGGGGGATTGAGGTCTTAAAAGTTAGATCTTATTCATTAGTAACAAGTATTTGAAAATAAATATGACAGCCTGATATTGGATGATTTGCCTGTGTCTTATTCCTCCTCCCTTATCAGCACCCCTGGGGATCTCACTACAGATCAGAAGGCCCAGGGATGTCTCACCTGCTGAGTTCACTGCTATTTATACTTATTTAAACACAGAGTTAGAGGATGTTTAAGTTCATATTTAACTCTTTCAAGTAAATGTAGATGTTTTGCTTCTTCTGATCAATATTGGAATGTGAAGATACAAGGAAAAGAATGAACAATTTTACTGCTTCGGTTTAGCTGTTACATAAGGTCTTTTTTCCTTGTAATATCAGATTAACAAATTTGAGGATCAGTTTAGTAGAAGTATCTTGAAAAAAAAAAAAAAGGAACTCTTTCTTATATGTAGAACTAACTCAACAAATACCAAATTTGGATAAGCATAAAAGAGAAACCAAACATCAGAAAACCCCAACTGATAGAACAAATTACCTAACCATGAAAATCTTTTTTCATATATCTTTGGGTGGAGGCAGGGAAAGTTTATTCCTCTGAATAATGTGCAACTTTATAAATTATGTCGAAGTACACGAACTATAGCCTGTTAAAATTTTGGTTAGAAAGACCAAAGAGATGTAAAAATAAATTCCTTATTCCTTAACCTATAGTGTCCTTGAACATATAACAGGGACTAAGTTACAGATAAGACACATTTTTTTTAGATTTATTTGTTGTCAGAAATTTTACATCATAGTTTGTGATTATTTTCTCAAGCTGACTTAATCTAAATACAAGTAAAGATAACTTTTAAGGAAATGAATTTCAAAATGAATGCAAAGGCAATAATCTAAATATTTAGTATAGTTAGGAGGTTCTGTTACTGAGGTACATACTGTATTGGTACAGTTGACGTAGTAATTGTAGTGTGTATAGCAAAAAATAGAAGATTGCTGATTACAAGTTTATGTGAATAGAATTAGAAGAACCTGATTTTTCTCAATCTGAGTGAAACATTCTCATTATAAATTATTTATTTGCTTTGAATAGTTAAAAACCTGTATCAGAAACATGAACTTGAAAACTGCTAACCCATGTGGGGAAAAGATTCTTCATATAAAATGAATGTAGAGCATATAACTTCTTGGAAATTCTTGCTTAGTAGTTATACTAATATAAAGCTGTTCTAATGTTGGGTTTGAGTGCCTGGGAATGTATCCCCAATAAGCTTCACTCTCGTTTTATTCCAACCCTTCTGCTTGTCCATAATTTAAGCAGATTTGTGGCAATGGTCAGAGTTCCTAGGATTAAGAAAGCTCTACAACAAAACACCACACCAGGTCTTAAAAGCTTTCTATTTTGGTTTTCTACTCTTTTGGCTGACTATATTTCTCTGAAGAAAGGCTTGTCGATCCTTCTGACTGTTTAAAAAACAGTTGAACTGGTATTTGCAATGCAGAGAAGGATTGATGTACTCCGGGCAGATCTAAGAAAGGATTCTTTTTTCACAAACCTTAAAATTGTATTTTTAATATACTGTTTACAGAATCAAACGTTGATTTAAAACCTAAGAAGTAAATACCTGTTTTACCGTAACTTGATTGCCCATGAAGATAATGAGATGAAATGACAGATGCACTGTTCTATGTAGGGCTTCCAGTGTTTAGTAGAGAAAGTAACTGACCAGTAAGTGAATTGTAGATCAAGGGACGGCTCCTTTTTTTTCCCTGAAATGAGGCAAGTTGCCCTAAATGTTGTTCATTATTTCTACAGCTGGAGCTTCATTAACAAGTACAGTTGGAATAACCAGGGTGTTGCAGCCACAGAGGAACTAAGCACGGCAAGCCTTTCCGTAACAAAGAAAATAAAAGAATTCCTGTGTAACAGGCTTCCACACTTATCTGTGTTCTGTGGTACTGTCTGAGCTGAACTAAAGCATCTGCTACCTCAAGTTGAGAGAACAAACTCAACATGGCGTGAAATTACTGCACAGCCATTCACATTCATTAGAGTTATATTGTTACCAGCCACAGGCATGACTGGCTTTTGCATGAATAATAAAATAAAATTCTACTTTGTGAATTTTACCTTAAAACACTGCAGTGCACAGTACTAACCTTGGGCCAGGAGTAGTAGAGTCAAGACCAATAAGAAGTCAGAAGTTGGGAAGAAATAGTGCTATATGAGGCCTGGGGAAAGGGCCTTGTGTTAAAGCAATTTACTCACTTTTTAAAAACGAATATTTATGTGTGGACTAGCTATTTGGAGACGTTAAAACTATTAAGCTACCATTTGGCAACCATCATAGTAATAGTTGACGCAGGCAAAAATCATCAATGGATGCTAAAGGTCGTGGGTCAAAATTTGATGAGGAATAGAACAGTTACACAATTACCAAGGGAAAAAGGAGTAATTTTGCAATGTGGCAACCTGACAGACACCTCATCCAAGTGACCAAAGTTAATCACCACAAACGGGGAAAATTGACATCACGTGCCTCCTAATATGTTCACTGAGAAGACATCACTTCTGTGAGTTATTTCTGTTAAAAATGCCTAATCTGAATCTAATCATGAGAAAACACCACACAAACCCAAATTGAGGAGCAGTTTACAAATAAGTGGCCTGTACTCTTCAAAAATGGCAGTGTCATCAAAGACAAAGGAATGCTAAGTAACTATTCTACATTAAGGAAATCTCAAGAGACATTGGCAACAATGTGTGGTCCAAAATTTTCCTTCCTTCCTATTTCATTGACATTTTTGTCTTCTAGTCTAGTTATAGAAGTGTATTGAACAGGAAAAAAATACTTTTAACAGTCTGAATATAATACTATATCCAGTTTCCTTATTTTATGTTTATGTGTATTTTTAGGCAATGTTGTAGATCTGTTTTGGGTTTAGGTAGTTTTTTGTTGTTTTGTTTTTGTTTTTAATATGGGACACTTCACAAATTTGCATGTCATCCTTGTAGAGGGGCCGTGCTAATCTCTGTTATGTTCCAGTTTTAGTTATGTGTTGCTGAAGCCAGCACTGGGTAGGTGTTTTTTAAGCATTAATCGCCAATGTTAAGTCTCTTAGTTGAATTACAGTTCAAGCTATTGAAAACCTAAAAATTATAATTCTTAATTATTTTATCAAATTATCAGTCAACGGAAGAAGAGTCCTCATGCTGTTTTGTTTTTTTTTTTTTAAGATTTTATTTATGTATTTGACAGAGAGAGACACATGGAGAGAGGGAACATAGCAGGGGGAGTGGGACAGGGAGAAGCAGGCTTCCCACTGAACAGGGAGCCCTATGTGGGGTTCAATCCCAGGACCCTGGGGTCATGAACTGAGCCAAAGGCAGATGCTTATCAACTGAGCCACCCAGGCACCCCCTCATACTGTTTAAATAGTAGAATGCACCATTTAAGAGTTTTCATGAGCACTTAAGAAGTAAATGATCACTAAGATCACAAAGATGAATTTATAAAGAAGTCATGATATTCGTAAAGAAGTTTGGTATAGTTTTTAGACAGGTTAGTAGGTAACAGGAATGCTTCGTTTTCAGGAAGGCAATTTGATAAGTGATTTCTTTTGGACAAGATGAAGAAATAAACTAGGTGGTTATAGTTAAGTAAGTAATTCAATAACAATTGGATGTTAGGCTCATAGATGGTTTCTAGTGTTGTATCTGTTGTAGAGATCTATTCTGTCCTGTTCTAAGTTTTAATAACTTGGATAAAGTCATTGATAACCTATGGAACAGACTTTTAAATGACACAAATCTGGGAAGGATAGCCAAAGCATTGGGTGACTGAAACTGGAACTGAAAGATGATGGTAGCCGAGAATGACAAGCTGGAATCAGCAAAATAAATTTGACAGAAATAAATTCTACAAGGACAACCAGTCGTATATATTGGGTGGAAGGAAAAAAACGTTAAGATAATTCATGGAAAATCACTTATAAAATGGTCAGTTGGCCATATTTAACATTTATTGCTTTGTTTCCTTTCACTATTTGATTTAATATGTATCGTTTGGGTCCAGTCAGAAAAATGGAAACCATACTAGCATGTCAAACATAGGGAAATGTAGTTCAAGGAATTGGTTATACAAGTGTTAGAAGACTAAAAGATAAGAAAAAGGGGGAACACTGAGCTATTAAAGAAAAACTACAGGAGGCACAGTTACCATACCAAGAGGCTTGTAAGAAGCAAAAGGGAAGAGGTCTTCATAATCTAGAAGCTACGGCCCTAAGTTGGCACTTGGACTTCCGAGGAGGGGATGCTGTTCAGCTACTGGTAGGATTGAAATCCATATTACTAAAAGATGTTCATTTATGTAAGAAGCCAAAATAATTAAATTTGAGTCTGACTTCTCTATGTTTAACTAAATGAAATGATATCTGAATGAACATCTCTTCCATCTTGAATTTGGTTCCAAAAATGAAGCATAAAACTAATTTGACTTAAGTTGTATTAATCTATACTCACCCCTCATTTTTAAAATGGCTTTACCACTAAAACCCTCCTACCTGAGATGAATTGTTATGTGACCTCTCAGAAAAAGTGTTTATAAAAATTTAGAGAAGGATTAAAAAAAAAAAGGCATGGCAATTAAGTTGGATGGCCTAAACATTCTCTTTGATTTTTAAGTGTGTACTTGTTTTAAATCTTCTTTCTCACTGATACCTTTAAACATTAAGTGGATTGAGTAGTCTAAGATAAAGATGATTGTCATGCTCTGAAACATTGAAAAACAAAGCTTGGAATTGATTTCTTTTTTCTTTTTTCCTTCTCCCCCAAATATTGCTTCTTTAGGTCAGTAACAGATCCAAGAGATGGAAAGAGAGTAGCACTCAAAAAGATGCCCAACGTCTTCCAGAATCTGGTCTCTTGCAAAAGGGTCTTCCGGGAATTGAAGATGTTGTGTTTTTTTAAACATGATAATGTAAGTGAAGTTGGTGTTTGAGATAGACTGTTTCCTATGCATGCTTAATTGTGTTAGTAGAAAGCAAAAGAGAGTTAAAAAGGGAATGTGCAAGTTATTAAGAAGTTTAGGAACCTGAGACAAATTAGACTATTTTTTGTGAACAATGCGCAAATTTATGTGAATTCTAAGGTGTATCAATCAACAGATAAATATTAATTGATGTAAAACAAATGTTAATAGTTAGCTGAGGAACAATCCTAATATTAAACATAAAAAGAGTGCATGTACTATGAGTGATTTAAGTGGAAATAATTGGTCCCTGATTTTTTTTTTTTTTTAAGATTTTATTTATTTATTTGCCAGAGAGATAGAATACAGGCAGGCAGAATAGCTGGCAGAGGCAGAGGGAGAAGCAGGCTCCCCTCGGAGCAAGGAGCCCGATGTGGGCCTCGATCCCAGGACGCTGGGATCATGACCTGAGCCAAAGGCAGCCACTTAACCAACTGAGCCACCCAGGCATCCCGGTTCCTGATTTTAAATGCTTTATTCTTAACTTTTAATATTTTAAATCGGAGATTAATATAAAGATGTAGGGAAACAGTTTCTTTTCTTAAAAAACAGTATAGCTGTTAAAGTAACATAGGTTAGCTTATTTATGGCTGTGTTTAGAGGAAACTCATGGTGTACTCACTCATGATGAAGAGAATCACTGGTTTGAGAGATTGCTTCTCCTCAATCCTGAAGTAAACGTTTGATACATCTAAAACTTACCTGGGGATGTTATGTTAGCATTGGACTCAAGTTTTCGATTTCATGTGAAAAGAAAAACTGCCTCACATTCTTCATTTGGTACTCAACCTATGCCAAAATAAGAACTTTATCAGAAATATAATAATTACTTGTGAGTCTCTGACTGCTTGTTTGCACAGGAACTTTAGAACTTTGGTCAAAGTGTAAGTCTCACTTTAAGAGAGAAATTTGGAAAAGTTTGAGGTGTTTGGTAAAACTAGGAATATCAAATAGATAGGTTTACTTGAAATTCCTTGCTTTGACACATTTCATTTTATTGATTACTCCTCTTGACATCCATTTTCCTTAAACTTTGCTAAAAAAGTTATTACTGTCTTCCAGTCAATTGGAACTGCCTAAAAATTGGTTTCAGTGACTTTGAAAATACCACTTGAGTTGCTAATTTATGACTGATCCTCAAATTTTGTAAGTGATTTAGAAAGATATCTAGTGCTTGCTTAGTTATTTCTTGAATTTGAGTACCATCCCAACATCAAAGAGGCCAAACCTTATTTACACTGTTAGAGACTCAAGTAAAGGTATCCATGGTGAAGAAATTTTTTGAAGGAGGGAGTAATTTGCTTACTAAGGATTTCAGTGGTTTATTATATTCAGACCTATGTTGGCTTCTTTTATAAAGGAGGGATGGTATAATAGGCTGCTAACTCTATATACTGGTATCTTTGCTGGTGACTCATTCCTGTAAGTAATTAAGTTACAAAGGTGGTGTCAGTGAGTAGTGCAAGAAAAGAAATAAATGAAATTCTTGAAAATCATACCTATCAAAACATAGTAACCAATTGGAGCTCCTGAGCTTTCTCATAAGTAAGTGCTTGTGACTTCTGTGAATATTCAAAAGTGAGACAGATTGTTAGAGATGAAGATGGTATGGCACCACTGTTTTATAAATCATGAATTTATGCTGTGCTCTGAGATCTCCAAAAGCTCCTCAGTGCCACATACCTGGTATGTGTGGAATGCCAGTCCAAGAAGCAGCTGGTATTTGATGTGGTTAAGGCAAAAAATGTCTATTACATCTGTATAGAGGCAGTGAGACGTCATGTGGAGGATACAAAAAAGGTTTAAAATGTCCTGTTTTGAGGAATCAGGTATTTAACACTTATTACTGTGTGTCGGGATGTGTGGTAGAGGCTTTCCATATATTAATTCATTTAATCCTTAAAAATCTTGTCAGATGGGGTTTGTTATCCTTACTTTGCAAAGGAGAAAACCAAAGCTTAGAGTTAAGTAACTTGCCCCAGGTCAGGGTGGCACAAGATTGGAGTCTGTCTTGCTTCAGAGCCCATGTTCATTAATTCAGAAAACATTTATTCTGTACATCCTATATTCCTAAACTATTTAGCTTCTAGGGCTTTCTACCCTTAAGGAGTTTAGTAATGTGAAGAATACTATGATTACAGTGCCCTGGGAGGACTGCTTGCATGGTTAATATTAAGTCAAGACAGTCTGTTTTATGTATGGAAAAAGCTGGGCAACCAAACCTAGAAGTATATTACAGTCATCAAAGGTGATTCTTAAAAAGGCAAATTCATGGGTCTCATCCCAGACCCACTAAATTGGAATCTCTGGGATTGAGGCCCAGGGATCTGTAATTTTTAAAGCTCAGGTGAATGCTGCCACACAAGTACCATAATATTAAGGAAAAGAGAAATTGTTGTAGACTTACAAGCTCAGAGATGCTTTAAACATGGAGGAGATAAACCTTAAGACGAGCCTTTTGAGATTAAGATTTGATTGAAAGAAGGAGAACAGAAGAATGTCATGATGAAAATGGCATTTAGAAAGATTACCCTGGCCACTGTAGGAAGGTTGGATTTTAATTTGGATGGCATCTAATGTGTCAAGGAATAGTTACAGAGCCCTGAGAGGCTTTGTATTTTCTTTTGAATAGAACTTTCAAAGTCACTGTATCAGGGGCGCCTGGCTTGCTCAGTCAGGGGTCATGAGTTCAAGCCCCACCTACTTAAAAAAAAAAAAAAAAGTCACTGTATCAAATTCATTGGTTTTAGCTGATCTGACTGATTGAGATATATGTACACACACTTTTTTTTTTTTCTTAAGGATGCATTCACCTTGATACAATAATAGGTTTAACTTTCTAAAGGTTGTTGTTAGCTAGGCTTATCACCAGAGCCTAGTCAGAATCAAAACTATTATAAAACCTGGCAAAAATGTTATCTACTTGACCCATCTATGCACTTGTGCATGCGTTTATGCACACACATAATTGCATATTATCAGCATGGTGAAGGCATGATTGAAGGGGTTTTGTGTTTTGTTTTGTTCTGTTTTGTTTTCAGTTTTGTGCTCCTTTGAGAATCTGATAAAAGCTATGAATCCTCTTTTAGAAAAGTGCACATACACATAATATTTATGTCATGTTAGGCTTTTGCTAGTCCTCTAAAGCCCATTCAGAGCCCCCTTAAGGGTCCACTGTTTCCTGCAAATATCCCCTGCTATACAAATCTGGGGCTTTTTCTTGTCCTTAGGCAATAGCACTAAGTATGCAGTAGGCAGTCCGTCTATTTGAAGAATGAGTAAGTAAATGAAAGTGACAGAAAAAAGAAATCTCCCAAGTCTGGCATGATAACCTCAGTGATCTCTCTCAGAGTTACTTTTTCCCAGTATTTTAATTCTGGAATACTCCAGAGGGGTAGAGAAGACAAAGAGGAGATAGTAGAGCCAAAGAAGAATGATTCTTTTTTCTTTGTATAGTCTGACCTAAATCAGGGCCTTGGGTTCATAAGTAGGATGAAGAATCATATCAGTATGAGACCAACAGGATGCTTCTCTGAATGCAGACATGCTGTTTAACTGCAGTCATTATTAATGCTAATGTTTCTGCTGCTGAGGAGAGTAAAAAGGCAAAGGATGCTGTAGACTGGCTTACTTTTCATGGATTTGGTTTTGTTTGCTCTGTGCCTAAAATTTTGTGGTACTGGGCAGGTTCTTGATGTATTCAAAATAATACATTCTTGTATTCATGAATCAAAAAAGTCAATTTGGTTAATATGCATGTTCTCTCCAAGTTGAGCTCTATATTCGATATCCCAATCAAAAATCAACAGGATTTTATATATGTATATGTGCGTGTGAGGAAATTGACAAACATTCTAAAGTTTGTGGAGATTGAAAAGACCTAAAATACTCAAGACAGTCTTGAAGAAGCTGGACAAAGTCTATCTCTTAACAGATATATAAATTAATTCAAAATAGATTGTAAACTTAAATGTGAAAGGTAAAATAATAAAGCTTCTGTAATAAACATAGGAAAATATCTTCATGACTTTGAGATAAGCAAAGATTTCTTAATGAGACAAGTGAAGCATTAACCATTTTATTTATTTGTTTTTTGAGAGGGGAGCACAGGCAGAGGGAGGGGGCATCTTAAGCAGGCTCCTCACTCAGCGTGAAGACTGATTCAGGGCTTGATCTCACCATCTGAGATCATGACCTAAGCCAAAATCAAGTTTAACTGACCTGAGCCAGCCACCCAGGCACTCCAAGCTTTCAACCATTTAAAAAAAAAAAAAAAAAAAAAAAAATTTGCGGACATGAACATTAACCTTAAGAATTAATGCTCATCAAAAGTTAAGAGAATGAAAGGATAGGCCTTAGACATATATTCCACAAAAAACTTGTTCCTAGAATGTATTATGTGTTAGGCAATTTTAAACAACTGTGTGATAGACAATTATAAATATTTGGCATTTGAGAAAGACCATAAGAAGTAATTATTTTACTTGACATTTTTTGAACTGTAAATTCTGTATCTGAGCATCATTTATTTTATAAAGAGCTTCTACAAATCAAGAACTTTTGCCCATTAGTAAAAGACTTAAGAATTTGACAAAAGAGGATAACCAAATGGCTAATAGGCATGTAACAAAGTGCTCAAAGTCATTAGTCATCAGAGAAAGGTAAATTAAAAGCATGAGATAATAATATACCCACCAGAGTGGCTAAAATCAAAAAGACTGACAATACCTACTGTTGACAAGAATGCAAATCAACTGAAGTTCTTTCTTTTCTTTTCTTTTCTTTTTTTTTTTAAGATTTTATTTATTTATTTGACAGACAGAGATCACAAGTAGGCAAAGAGGCAGGCAGAGAGAGAGGAGGAAGCAGGCTCCCTGCCGAGCAGAGAGCCCGATGCAGGGCTTGATCCCAGGCCCCTGGGATCATGACCTGAGCCGAAGGCAGAGGCTTTAACCCACTGAGCCACCCAGGCACCCCTCAACTGAAGTTCTTAACATTGCTGCTGAGAGTGTAAATTTCTAAAACCACTTAGGAAAACTGGCAGTTTCCACTAAATTTAGCTAAATACACACCTACCCAGTGATCCAGCATTTATATTCTTTGGTATACTCCAGACAAATCATATATCCACCAAAAGACATGAACAGTAGGAGTGTTCATGGCTGCTTTATACATAATACCTAGAAATTGGAAACAACCCAAGTGTCTGCCAGCAGACAATTGGATTGTCTGGATAAGTACATTGTGTTATAGTCCATTCACATGATGGTATAGTACACACCAATAAAAAGGATGAACCACTGATCTGCACATCAATAGGGATGAATCTCATAGGCATAACAGTAAAGGAAAAAAGTCATACACAAAGGCTTCATTTTTCATGATTCAATTTGTATAAAGTTCAAGGACAGGCAAAATGAATCTGTGGTGATGGAAATGAGAATAGTGGATACCTCTGAGCAGGGATGGGATTTGACCAGAAAGGGACAAGGGGACCTTCTGGGTTGTTGAAATGCTTAACTTCTTGATCTAGATGTTAACCATGAAGTAAAAATCCATCATATTTTATACTTTGTGTAAAAATTAATCAAATTACATACTTGGCAGCTGTATTTTACAACTTTTTAAAAAATAGTAGTAATTACATAGTCTCCACCTTAAAGAACTTAAAATCTCTTGGGGAGTAAGATTGGGGAGGGGGTAGCTCCTTTGCTAAACATGGGATTTAATTGTATTTTATGAATAGTTAAATTTCTAGTTTTTATATTTAGGATTAGGATTATTTACAGCAGTTGTTTTATTGGTAAAGGGCTAAGAAGAAGAAGCCAGTTTTATATTGCATAACCAATTTATAGTGAATCTCAACATCACAGAGGTTAAAATTCTAAAAAACTGCCGCCATAATGGGCTTTTGTCCAGTTCTTAAAAAGATTTGAGACACTGTTTGGTAATGACCATTATTGACAGAAGTATTTTAGTCCATTTTTTAAATTAGACAAGTCCGCTTGCTTTTTTTGTATTTGAGATCCTTTGAAAAGTTGGTGGTATTTTGGGGATACTTTGACTCTTTACAAGTCAAAGTCTTTACAAGAGTCCTCTTATTTACATCATAAGGCTAATCTCACACACTTGATTCCCACAAATAATGGGGTTATAGAGGGACTCAGCCTATTTAAATAGGGAGTCAGGCATGAAGTCTGGAGTTTGAAACTGGTACTATTCCTTCTTACTTATTTATATCATTTCTGAGATTCCTGGATCATTTCTACTGATCTAAGCACTGGTTTTGCACCTCTGGAAACACTATGGAATGCCATCCTCTGATAAACATTTTGAGATAAAATAACAGTAATATAAAACAACAGGCATTTAAAAAATTCCAACCAGAATTTAAAATATTGTACCTTTGAAGCTAACAATCACAGCTAAATGCTTTAGTGCAAATGTCTGACCCTGTTTTATATGGCTTTTCTACAAAAAGCCTCATCAAATCTGGAATAAGAAAGCCTCATTCTTCTCCATCAAGGTTTAAAATGTATGGTTGTCACTTTCTCTAGATAACCTCTAATTATAGCAGATAGATTTGAAGTGTAAAATAGCTTTGTCTAATGGACGCTGTCACTCATTGCATTCTGGTTTCCCCCAAGACAGGATGTGTGTTGTTCAGATACAGAATGGAGAGTCCGAAAGATGTCAAGTAAAACACTAATTTCTGTCTTCCTCAAACATCATATATTCATGTTAAAAATTGTTCTATCTCATAATCAGAAATGAATTTGTGTGAATTTGTGACACTAGCTAATTATAGGATTTTAAATTTATAGAAATGAAATAATTTATCTTTTATATGATAAAAATTATTTTTGAAGAAACCAAAAAATCTGTTATCTTTCATTTATACCAAGATTCTAAGTATAAACATTTTAATTCAGAAAGGAAGGATCAAGATTCTTTATAAAGCATCTAAACTATTTTCAAACTTTCATGTATAACTGGTTTTAAAGTGAGTAAAGACTTTCATTACAGGAGGTTTTAGTTTTAGAATTTTAAAGTGACAAATGCTTGGCTGAAAAAAAAATGAGCAAAGGTTCTTCCACATGTAAATTGCAAGGGGAAAAGAAAAAGAGGAGAAATCTGTAGGTTAAAACTTAAAACACAAATCAACCATAATATGTAAATCTTATTTAGGTCCTAATTTAGACCAAAAAAACTTTAAAAAGGAAAAGAAAATTGTAAATTTCAGAACTGGATATTTGATGGTATTAAAAAACATATAATTTTTAGACTTGATAATTATATTTTTTAGAAGTTTTTCTCTTTGGGGCGCCTGGGTGACTCAGTGGGCTAAGTGTCCGACTCTTGAACTCAGGGTTGTAAGTTCAAGCACCACATTATTTAAAAATAAATAAATAAACAAAATAAAAGCTTTCATCTTTTAGTGATGCTTACTGATGTATGGCTGAAATAAGTTTGCTCGTTGCTTCAGAATTATATAGGGAGAGTGGGGGTATAGAAGCAATAATAATTACGTATGTGGATTACTAAGACTGGGTATTGATTACATGAGCATTCTTGATACTGTTCTATCTACTTTTATATGTTCGAAATTTTCTATAATAAAAATTTTTTCTTAAAAAAAAAAAACCTTAGCTAACGATAGAAAATTTGAACTTGTACCACAGTTTATTTCCTGTTAAAAATTTCTTCCATATTCTTTCACCCTCAGGTTTCTTACTAGTTAGGTAGGTTCAGATTCTTACGTGTGATATCATAGATGGGACTTAAAAGAAGAGCTGAACAGCTGGTAGGGGAAGTAGGCCTATTTGTTATGTTTCAAAGGCAGAACTGACTTTGTTAGTATGCTGCTTTTATAAAGGACTTGAATTTCAGATGCCTTAAAGTCTTTCCACCCTGGTGACTTCTTTTTTTGTACTTGGAATAAAATCCAAAATGCTTAACAAAAATTTAAAGAGATTTTTATGTGATATATCCCCTGCCTTCCTCTTCTGTTTTATCCCAATCTGTTTTCCTCCCACCCTCTATGTTCCATAAGCACTGGCATTTGTTTCTAGAATTTGCCTGGTTCCTTCTTGCTTCAGTGCCTTTTCAGTACCTACTCATTGCCTGGCCAACTCCTATTCACCCTTCAACTCTTAGTGTTACTTCAGGGAAACTTTTTTTTTTTTTTTTTTTTTTAAGATTTATTTATTTGAGAGAGAGAATGAGAGACAGAGAACATGAGAGGAGAGAGGTCAGCGGGAGGAGACTCCCTGCTGAGCAGGGAGCCTGAGGTGGGACTTGATCCCAGGACTCCAGGATCATGACCTTAGCCGAAGGCAGTTGCTTAACCAACTGAGCCACCCAGGCGCCCTTCAGGGAAACTTTTGTCCCCATTCCTCTTGACTTTTTCCCTTCAAATAATATATATCATAATTACATAGTTGTGTAACTGCTTGTTTCTTTAATGCCTTCCTCACTACTAGTCATGAGAGGAGGGGTGGTATCACTTTTGTTTATCAGTATAACCAAAGAGCCTACCATGGTGCCTGCCAGGTAGAATGTACTTGGTAAACGTTTTTTGAACAGAGGAGTAGAGGAATGAATGATAGATGTGTCTCCTCGTGCTCTCAGAGCAACACTGATTGTTAAAAGTAATGGCGTTTCAAAACACTTGCCATGCAGCAGTCTGGTGGCATGTGGTAGAACCCAGTTGGCCCTCTCATTTTAGTTTAGATAGAATTGTCTTTACATAGTAGTTTTACAAACCCATCTTAGTGTTTAGGACTGTTACTTGACTGATAAATTTAGTTCATCTCCGTGGGCAATTATAACTAAGCCTTACATCATTAAAAAGTTAATAGTATTTACTTGCATTTATGTCATATTTTGCTTCCTTTTTAGTTCTCTAAATTTGACTTTTTTTTTTTTTTCCTTTTCTCAGGTACTCTCTGCCCTTGACATACTCCAACCTCCACACATTGACTATTTTGAAGAAATGTATCCTAACCAGGGAATGTGAAAGAAGGGGACAATATTAATTTATTCTTCTAGCACCTTTGGGGGTTCATGCTTTAAGGTGTATAAAATCTCATCCTTGCAGAGGTGGTTGAGTACCTGGAACCAGGTAATTTTGAAATCTGACAGAGCAGTATTATCAATGTATCCTGAATTGTGATACCATAAAAACGGAACTTTGGAGCACATTTTTTTACTTAATCTCCACACAGCCTATGAGATAGGTTATTACCATCCCATTTTGCAGATGAAGCCAGTGAGGCAGCTATGTTGTATGGAACTCAAGAAAGTACTCTTGTTGCTATACAACAACTGCCTATCAGTTAAGAGGATAATACTGCCCTTTTTTCCTACCACTTGGTGTAAGGTGAAAATTAAAGAGATAATGTAAGTCAAATCCCACGTTCTTTGGAGTAATAGTGATGGTGCTGGTAATAGTCATTACTTACCTAAGTTTTTATCAGATGCCAGGCACAATTCTAAGTTATTTACACATAAAAGTTTATTTAATCTCTATAACAACCATCTGGGAGAGAGACTTTGACTGTCCCCATATTACAGAAGAGGAAATTGAGGCACAAAAGATAAAAAAGACTTGACTAAGATCACAGATAGTAAATATTGAGATTGAGGTTCAATTCCAAATGGTCTGACTCTGTGGTCTTTATTTCAACTCCTACATGATTCTCTCAGGATAGAGGCTTTACCATTATCTTACTACTATTAATATGTAAAAATAGTATGTAAGGTATCATGGATAATAATAAACTCTAAAATAATGCCTAGTATTAACTCCTGGGACTGTGCATGAAAATAAAAAATTGGGACATAGGTTAGCCCTAGGAAAAGCATCACGATTTACCATTCTGTATTTAACTGGGTAAAACTTGAAGTGAAAGACAGGGAGTCCTAAATCTTTGAATTCAGTGAGCTTAGGACACTAGTTTATTGACCCAAGACTTGTTATTAACACTAGGCCTATGACTTAAGAGTGGAAACCAATATGAAAGCAAGATAGTTTTTCAGACTTAGCAGTGAGATTAAAAATCTCATTCTTACACAGGTGGTAAGTAATTCTATACTAGATAATTATCTTTGATAATTTCTTTAGTAACTGGGAACAATTAAGAGCTTCCCTAAGGGAAGGAGAATAGCTAAACTGACTGGGGAATTGGGAAACGGGGTTGTAAGGTGATAGAATTATCACTGATCAACACTGCTGGGATATTGTGATCTGATAAACTTAGAGCTCTTGAATGCTGTAATCCTTGGTGATATTTTAACCCATGAGTCTTTTACGGAATTAATAAAGGCTTAACTCAGTGGACTTGGGGTGCACCAACCTTGCACTTTCAGAGAAGGGACCGGGTCTTGACCAGCTTCTGGATAACAAGAGCGTCTTTGTATACCTGAGATCTTGGGCCTGGTCAGACAGTTCTTAACATATGCTTATTTAAAGAATTTAGAAATTTAAAAAATTGAAAAAGTTCTTTTCTCCTCAACTGTAGATCAGAAGTAACAACTGAGGAGAAAGCATTGATGATTTCATTTCATAGACTTCCTGAAAATTACCAAGGTAGGGAACTCATGGGAGTGGAGCCATACTTGTGTCATTCATCCAGAGTAACTTCCTACACCTGACCAGGAGTCACCTTTATCCTTTTAGTTGGCTGGAAAGGAACCTACATATTAGAAGCATTCCTATGAATGTGTAATGCTATTTATACCTGTTTGGAAATGACGTTGCTGACAACCTTGAAATTAGAAGAAATCTTCTTTATTAAATAAGAATTTTATTGTATTGTAGGTTGTGTCAGGGGTCCCCAAAACTACCCTCAGGTTCCATGATTTGCTGAAAGAACTCACAAGATCCAGGAAAGGTATTCTAACCATGGCTACAGTTTATTACAGCAAAAAGATACAGATTAAATCAGCAAAGGAAAGTGGTGCATAAGGCAGAGTCCATCAGAAACCAGGTACAAAGTTCTAATTTGGCTTCCCCATAGAATTGCACAGATCTTGCTTAATTTTCCCAGTAACAATGTATGACAACACAGATAAATATTGTCAACTGGGGAGGCTCACCTGAGCCTTAGTGTCCAGGGTTTTTATCAGAGGTCAGTCAGGTAGGCATAGAGCACCCACAGGGCTGACCTCAGCTACTCAGTCTCCAGCACTCTTCCTCTTCCACACCCAGAGGTTAAACTAATACAGCTGGCCCAAGGCCCCAGGCAAATAAAAACAGGTGTCACCATAAATCATACTGTTAGCATAAACTGTCTGATGTGACCAAAGCCCCAGGTATACTAAGACACTCTTATGAGGCAGGACATTGCAAGGGCTCAAAGGTTATTTCCCAGGAGTTGGTCCTGAGCTGGTCCTAAAGACTTTTGAATGTGTTGGGTTTGGGTAGCCTAGATCTGCTAAGTTAACCCTTGATTGCACCTAGGCTATCTGTGAGGAAAGAATGTTTTCGAATAATAAATTGGTGAATATGTTTATATTTAATAAGTGCCAGATATATTTAGATTCTCTTCAGTGAGCACTTACCTAATTTATAATATCATTTTCTATTCTATAGTTCAAGCATGAATTGTTTATATCAGGCATTAATTCTGTATACTTGGGTTTGTCATTCCTTTAAAAACTTTGTGTGCTTTTGTAAGCTAGGAGTTCTCAATCACTTATTAGTGACCATAATTGGAGTCTGGGAGATCCTTGATTGATTATTATTTCAAATACTTGCAGAGCAGAGGGAAAGTTAGCATAGTTATAATTTAGTACCGTGAGTGGCATAGATAGTGTAGTACCTGTTGGTGGCTTATTTCAGCCCATTTCATTGGTTAGCATAATGTTTCTGTGCAATTCCTCTCCCCAAAATTGTTCATGAATGTTGAATTAAAAGTCCTTGCCATAAGTATTTGTGGAACCATCTGGTACACATTTACTTAAATATTTTACTTTCTTATTTAATTTTTTTACCTTCAGGTTAAAAAATGGACACCTGTTGTAATTAGTTAACTACAAAAGAGTCTTTCAAACCTAAGCCTCAAATGTTCTTGTTTTCTGTTGTATAATTTTTAGCTATATATAGAATAATGCACAGAAAAAAAGGTGTTTTCTTCTGGTGGTGCTATTTGGAAAACATTGAATCCTTTCAACATAAAAAGGAATTGTTTCTATAGCTGCCCCAGGATTATAAAGATTTTGTAGGAAGGCAATTATTCATCTGTGTTAGCAGCTCCCTCTGTAGTATCTCAAAAACATGGCATACACATTACACACGGTTTTAGACAGTGGCTTTTTTTTTTTTTTAAATTAGAGGATTGTTGTGTCTTTGCAGATTTTAGAATGGATAATATTTTGAGTTTTAAATGTATGATCATGGAATTATGCTTTGAAGAAAATCTTGAGGTCTGTTTGAGGCTCTGTCATTTTAGGTAAGTTCTAAGTATGTTGCTATTCTAATGGATGTTCTACTATTTAGTTAGTTGATAAAGGATCAGTGCATAGAGTCAAAAATATGTATTTATCATATTATTTAAGTCATTAAAAGGAAATAAATAATCTTAAACAACCTTCTATTATACATACAGTACCATTTATTATTGTACTTTTTTCTAAGATTAAAAAATTGTGCTGTTGTATTGCATATGTAACTGTTACTACAGAAACATTTTAAGATCTCTTTACACTGATTTTAAGATTTTATTGGTTTGGGACGCCTGGGTGGCTCAGTTGGTTAAGCAGCTGCCTTCGGCTCAGGTCATGATCCCAGCGTCCTGGGATCGAGTCCCACATCGGGCTCCTTGCTTGGCGGGGAGCCTACTTCTCCCTCTGCCTCTGCCTGCCATTCTGTCTGCTTGTGCTTGCTCTCTCTCCCTCTCTCTCTGACAAAAAAAAAAAAAAAAAAAAAGATTTTATTGGTTTATTTCATAGACAGAGATTACAAGTAGTCAGAGAGGCAGGCAGGGAGAGAGGAGGAAGCAGGCTCCCCGCTGAGCAGAGAGCCCGATGCGGGACTCGATCCCAGGACCCTGAGATCATGACCTGAGCCAGAGGCAGAGGCTTTAACCCACTGAACCACCCAGGTGCCCCTCTCTTTACACTGATTTTAATGGTTAATATCATTTTAGAAAATCTGAGTCTATGAACATTTTGATGTAATCAGATGTACAATAAGAGTATGATCATATAGTATGCAGTTAATCATACATTTTTCCCTGAAACTGTAATAAAATGATTGCAACAGTGCCCACCATCAGTGGCTTGAGTTTTCTTTAGATAGCTCCTTAAGCAACTTGTAGAAAGATAATGTCTAGATTTTAACTGTTGATAAATCTACCTACAGGGTCCAACAGATTTAGCAGGAGTCCAAAATGGAAGGAACAATAAATTCTCCCATGTACTCTGTATCTTGTAGCTTTTCTATTTTCATATTTTTAAAATCTAGTGTATCACCCTGCAAAATATGTTCCTTAATAATTAAGAAAGATTATTTTTTAACTGAACTTTTTGCTGTTAAAGGATTACATTATTCATTTTGCACTTTGACTTTCTGTTTGGAAAACTGTGTGAAAATACTTCGGTGCTAAGTTACTTTGAGCCTATTGAAATTTAACCCAAGAGAAACCAGTTATAATTATTTGATTGAAAATCGTTTATCATGCTTTAGTAAGAAACCTGAATTCTGAACATAAACATGCCTTTTCCCAGAAAGTACTGGATGCCTGCTGGATTAGAAATAAAAATTTGGCCTGCCTTGGGAAAAGTTTACTTTTACTTTGAAATAAAATGAAACATGCTCTTAATGTTTTATGGAGAAGAATATGGGTAGAACAGGTTATTTATACTAGAAGCAACTACAGCCTAAAACCAGTGGAAGTGAGAAGTCTAGTGGGGGATCATGTGTCCCTGTTTATCAGGACTCCTGGATTTTACCTGATGTCCTGTATAATTATTAATAAGTTCCTCCTTTTACT